TATAATATAATATTGTTCCTGACAAACGTTTTTAAGGTCAAAAATGGCTTTTATAGCGTTTTTATGGTCAAAAACGACTTATACTTGTGTTAGTAAGGAAATTTTTATTTTCCTGGCAAAAATTATCAGAAAGTATTCCATGTATGGAGAGTTATGTTCTCCTGAATTTCTCGCTGGCAACCAGTTGTGACTTACAGCTGGCTGGGACATAAGAACAGATATATTTTTCCCAGGAACCCGTCGGCTCCACTCGAATAGTCTTTTTACCAATGGCAGCTTCTTGTTGTAGAAGGATCAGTACTGACTGGAACTATTSATTGGAGCATTACCGGTGGTAATGTGGGTTCTGGGAGTTGGAGTCGAAGAAGCAATAATCTTAGCGTTTGTGTTGGTTGCTAGAGTAGTACTAGGTCTTGTGTTTGGAGTTCTAATGATACTAGTTTAGATAGATTTGCTACATAGATTTGCAGCAGAAAGTTCCACCATACGTAGGAAAAACTTTTCACGATTCCAGTTCCTTCACATGTTGTCACTTGCCTGGGCTTTAATTATTTGGAGAATAATGGCGACAGTTACAATGGAATTCATTTTACTGTTTTAAAAGCAATGGAATTGTTTTGTATAAGCATCGTCCAAATGTGTTGTGAAGAATCTAGATCTCACCTCATTTGGGACACACAGACTCGCTGATGTACGAGGCGTCCCCGAGAGAAATTGTTGGACATACGTAATGGGTAAATCTCTCTGCCTCGCACTGTCACCAAGTTTCATCATTTGAAATCATTGTTGTTTTATTATTATTTACTTATCGATATCATGAGTTTTGAGAAAACTGTAGTTACAATAGTATGCTACAACATTATAAAATGTAGTGTATTTATATAGTCCTTTGCGGTAAACACATAACTTACATAATTCATGCTGCAGTAGCTTTTAGAACATGCATTTTACATTCACGTCTGTTATAAAGAGCTCTTAAAATCAAAATAGATAAAGTTAAAGAAAATATTTAGGCGAAAACAAGTTTTGAAAGTTTTCTAAGGACTAATGACACAAGCATCATCCAACTGTATGGAAACTGTCACTATATTAAACATTTTATCCGTAGAGTACAAACATTAAATGTGTGCAACACTTTCCACTATTTACTACAAAATAGTGTTATTCAAACAATAGAAAACAATAGAATTAGCATAATTTATTAGTATTTAGTGGTATTTATGTTGCACAGTTTTAGTGTTTGTACTCTAGTATTTGAGAGGGAACATCACAAAAGGGGTCTTGTGTCTAGCTGGAAAATGCAGTCTTCCAAAAGACGCCATTAATTCACTCGCTGCATCAAAAGGGTCTTAATTCTTTAGCCTCCTTTTGTGCTGTCCCTTCTCATCATTGTCCTGACTGCAAGCAAGGTCATCAATCAACCTCAGCTTTTTTGATCAGTAATTTCGGCTTTTATTAGCAAGAAAAAAGGAAACTTCGGGCCTTGTGTTGGGCTCTATTGTACAGCTGCATGACGGTAAATGGGCGTTGTTGTGCGTCTGCGCAGCATCGGTTGATTTGCGTCTTGCGTGCTGTGCATTGGCTAAGTTCAGGCCAAGAGGAGAGGGTACATCACAAAAGGGGTCTTGTGTCTAGCTGGAAAATGCAGTCTTCCAAAAGACGCCATTAATTCACTCGCTGCATCAAAAGGGT